TTGTTGGCGCAGACTCCCACCTCGATGACGGTGAACTCACAATGACCATCTAACTATTGTGGAGTGTGGGCTGGATACCCACCACCACTGCCGCCGCCCGCCGAGGTTGTCGTTTCCGCCTCTGGTCATCTTTTATATCAGAGCAGTTGTGTGTATGCGTGTGGGTGTGTGTGCGTGTGTGTGTCTACTTCCCGGAACTGAGCTCTACCCACCGCGCCCTTATCTACACTGTTCACGTAGAGGACTGTCATTTAAAACCCGAATTATGAATGTCGTGGTTTGCCACGATCCCCTCCTTCGCCTCTAATGCGTTGCTTTGAAGGCCCATTTAACCGCCACCGCCGCCGCCTCCTCCTTTTTAGTCCTTGTTTTTCTTTTTGCGGTCAAATCTGAGATATTTTGTAAGACAATTTCCGTCCTGGCATTTAACTCACTCTCCCCCTTTTTTTCTCTCGCGAACTCTGCACACAATCCCATGCACTGTTGTCATGTTGCATTAGCAACATTTGTGTGTGTGGCTGAAAAACAGTCACGGGTGCGTGTTTTGCTACACAATGGACTTTCTCTGTCCGGTGCGTGAGTGTCTATCTCCGCACCACCTCAGGCTTGCGAGACTTTTCACCTCCACTTATACCGGTTTTGTGCGGCTCTTTACCCAGTTTCTTACGCGCCATTACCTTTTATCGCCTTATGCAAATGTGGTGCCCTTTTTATCACTTGCCACTCCGCTGTTACTTCGTTCCACTGGATGTTTCCCTTTTTTACTATACTGACATTCTCTGCTCCGGAATCCAGCTATGGACCCCACGTGCACATTTCCCGTCTTCAGTTGGTTTTTATCCGTACTGCTTCCCCTTCTCTCTCTCTCATCCTTCCTAATTTATAAGTGTAATATTACAGAAAAACAAACTATTAGTATCTTAACGTTTGTGAAATCCCTACATGTACAGATAATAGTATTTGCGCCGGTAATCTTCGTGTTCTCTCACTACCTGCCTGCTGGCGTTGTGTTGCTGCTGCTGCTTTTGTTGTTCTTTTTATTGGAGGCAGCTTTACGAAGCCAGGTCCTTTCACGTGCTTTTTCATTCCCTGGAACTTCCATTTCCGTTTGTTTGCCGACCTATATCTGGACACACACACACACACCCCTTTGCCTTAACAATTAACGGAATTACTCTTCAAGTAGGCCTTTGATAACGCTTCTCGTGAGTTCAAACCTTCCAGCTCTTTGACGTTCTCTAGGTTGACCAATTTTCTTAGTCGTCGTGACCTCCGCGGCTAGTCAGCTGATTTTCCGGGCTCTTAGTCAATGGTATCTGTAGTCCAGCTTGTGGCTTAACTGGCCCTTCAAATTGACTGGCGTTGTTGTGCCAGATAGAAGGGGAGGGAGGCAAACACGTTATCGCGCGGGTGTCGCGGTGTCACCTTGTCGATTAAATAATCAGCACGCAGGAGATGGGCAGCGGATGTTCAGTCTACCACTGCCCGCAGTCTTGTGGGCACGAGACGCGAGGCAGGTTGGAGCCAGACCTTGCGCGGCCTTGCTATGACAAGCCTAATGCGCTTCGGACTTATTATAGTGTCGGAGACTTGGGAAAAATTGTGTTCATGTTGCTGATGATGTTGCTGTAGTGACCGCCTGAGGCGGGACGGGAATCCTTATGTAACAAAGCACTTCCGACATTCCTTTTTGGCAGACCAACTAGAGGACTTGCCTCGTGGCTTCCTATGTCGAGGAAATAAGGATCTGGGTTACATGCTATATGGCATTGGATTATTGTGCAGCTAGAGTTAGTCGAATTAGCTAACCGTACACAGTCCCCCGTTTTGTTCCTTCTCTTATCCTTCCCAGAAAATACTGAAAATTGGTGTTTGTAGCCCTCCCTACCTCAGCAACTAGGAAGGGAGCCCAGTGCTTCTATTCTGGCTTAATAGCTGCAGCCGGTAGCCTGCCTTTCAAAGCATCCGGAACGGGAGCTTTGTCCAAGAAATACTGGGAATAAAAAATTGAAAAGTGCCGCGTAGAGAATGCAACTAACTCTGTTCAACCACCTCGCCCTCTGCCCCCTTCCTCCGCCACCCCCTTTCCCCTTCTTCTTCTGCTTCTGTGCACCCAGGCGCCGGTTGTGAAAAAAAGGAGGGCCTGCTTTTTCGTCCTGCCTGTTATATTACTTTTCCTTTTCATCTCTGTCGGCCTTTACTCGTAAATCAAAAAATATTCCTCGCGCCAACTATCCGCCATTCCTATAACCCGTCCTGAATGCTCTTTTTACCTTTACTTCATCCACTCTTACCTTAAGTATCCTTTCGATTGATGTTGAAGATTGTCACCACCGAGTGCTAACGGCTAACTACCAGGAAAAACGCCAACCTTAAACTTTGTAGCTTACTTACTGCAGTTCATAATTTTAAGAGGGTTATGTCGGCGGCACGTTTCCTGTCGTGGTCAGTCTATGATACCGAAAAGCGAAGTAGACGACGGTGCGCTCTTTAAATAATAGTTGTTTGACTTACATGCAATGATTTTTCGGAAGGTTGCAAGAAACTAATAGAATCGCGTATGTTGTCGAACCGAAAGTGTACACCTCGCCTCTAGACTGGCTTTTATGGGTGTTATGATAGGGTTCTCTCTCAGTTACGCTACGTCTTTCTGGCCAAAGCTCCCCCTTCTGCGTGCCCCAGGTGTGTGGCGTTGTTGTGTATCGGAGAACAAAAACTGGGCCAAGTTGTCCCGCAGCTACCACTGTAGGTTCCGACCTCCCTCCCCATTCCTTTGAAACAGGGAACAGTCGGACTTTTTGTGCCTTTGTCCTTGACTAAACATTTGAAGGGGTGACCGTCTCTTGCAATCACTCATCTTGATTTGACATCCGTGTGTCTTCAGGTCCGGTACACAGACCCGTGGGAACGTGATATCAACTTTATAAACCTGTGTGCGGACACCATAGCATCATACACTTGCGCGACAGTCTTACTTAATCCAGCTTTTAAAATTCATCTGTAAAACAACTTTGATTTCACTCGGCACTTTTTACCTTTGATACTGAAGCTATTACCTATCTTCTAATACCCCAGTGCATACCAACAGTAGAATGCTTGACAGACACCCTGGCCTTTTTGTTACATCATCTCATGTGTCTTCCATATTTTAAGGTAATCCCGCCCGCCAATCGCCATCAGTATGACCTCGAGAACCTCAGTCTCCCCC